TATCATTCTAGTTTTTCCCGCATATTTATCGATCACTGCCTTTTTGGGCTTCATCCAAAGTGTTAGTAAATCAGTAGATGGGATATGCTGGTTAAATTATTTAATTTCCTTGAGTTTTGCGCCTCTTGCTTGGATCCTTTGCATTGTTTCCACCTGTGTTTGCATTTCATTGTTCGGGACTTCTCTCCTGAGGCCAAATTATACCCTTGCCCCTGAAATTTCCATTTATTCTGTGGATTTCATCAAGTGGTGGGCACTTTATAAAATGCAAGAAATCTCTTCGAAAGTTCTGGCGGTACATCTTAGAGGTACAGTATTCCTGAAATATTGGTTTGAGGTGCTTGGCGCAAGAATTGGACCTGGAGTTTTGCTGGATACAGTTGACATCACAGACCCATCTCTAGTTTCAATTGGAGATACGGTTGTTATTGCAGAAGGAGCTTTGCTCCAAAGCCATGAGGTGAAGAATGGACTTGTCAGTTTCTTGCCTATTAGGATCGGCAAAGGTTCTTCCATTGGGCCTTATGCTGTTTTACAAAAAGGAAGTATTGTTGGAGAAGGCATTGAGGTGCAACCTCTGCAAAACGTTGAAGCGGGCCAACATGTGCTCAAAACGACAAGGCCTAAAAATGTTTGTAAGGTTTGTTCTAATGTTGAATAATATTACAAGAAAATTTTAAATTCAACACCTTGCATATTTTAAATAACTAAGATTCCTTTTTTTTTTTTTTTAATGGAAATGTCAATTGTTATCACTTGTAGTGCATTTTACCATATCACTTGTATGTATGTTTTTTGGGAGTTGAACTTTATTTGCGTTTTATCTTTTACTTTGGGGGGTTTGTACTTACTAAAACTCAGTCATGTTTACATTTTTGGCATGAACAAAATGGTTCTAAGATTTAATCTAACTTTAGTGAGCTAGATAACTAAAACTCTTAACTATATTAAATAATGCCTCTTCTAATCATATTTCAGAATGCGGTCCTGCCTGTTGATGCCAGTGAAGTTGAATCTACTGTTATTAACCATTTCGTTGGAATCTATCTGGTTGGTTTTCTGAATTCCCTTGCTGCTGCTATTGTCTACTTCTTGTACATAAGGTTCTTCTCAAAACTCCCATCATTTCAACACTTCTCATTTATTTGCTTATCTGGGGCCTTCCATTGGATACCATTTACCATCATAGCATATGCTACCATGTTTTCTTCTGTCCCATCAAGTTCCATTATATTCGCCATTTCATTTTCATGTGGCTACTTGCTTCATGGTCTTATCCTCAGCTCTCTCACTTGCTTTTTAACTCGACTCCTGGCATGTAGTCGAAACCAAACCCATTTCAAAATCTGGCTTCGACATAGAATCACCATTGTTTGCCACCTTAGATTTGCAAAGCTTTTAACAGGAACAGAAGCCTTTTGCGTGTATTTACGTCTCTTAGGTGCCAAAATTGGCAAGCACTGTTCTATCAGAGCCATCAACCCTGTTTCAAACCCAAAATTAATGTCAATTGGTACCGGGGCCCATCTTGGTGATTTTTGTCGGATAATTACCGGGTTCCATTCTTCTAATGGGTATCTCAGTGAAGAAGTCAAGATTCAGGATAACTCAGTTGTTGGGAGTCAAAGCCTGATCCTCCCTGGTTCAACTATTCAAAAGAATGTCATTTTGGGTGCACTTTCAATTGCTCCAACGAATTCCACGCTCCAAGAGGGCGGTGTGTACATTGGATCTCAAACCCGAGTTGCTAGTAGAAACTCTATAAATGCATTGGATGAACGGATAGAGGAGATGGACATGGGATACAAGAAATTAGTGTCCAATTTGGCTGCAAATTTGGCTGCGACAACTTTGAAAGCTAAAGCAAGATATTTTCATCGCATTGGGGTTAGCGGAAAGGGATACCTAAAACTATACAACAAGATAGAAGGCCTTCCTCTACACAAGATTTTTCAGCCGGGAAAAAGATACGCAATCATTGTTAGGCACAGCAATAGTTTGAGTGCTGATGACGATGCAAGGATCGATGCTCGCGGTGCAGCTTTAAAGATACTCTCTGAAGGACCTACTTGTGAGTGTCCTCTTTATGACTTAACACTTAAAACAGGCCCTGCATTCTATGCTCGCACTATTGCTGATTTCACACACTGGCTTGTTTGTGGGCTTGATGCAAGAAAGGAGTTTGTCAAGCGACTCCCACATGTTCGTGACGCAGTATGGAATTCTCTTCGGCATGCTAACTCTTACACCGAATTGCATTACTACTCAAACTTCTGTCGGCTAATCCGCTTTACAGATGGACAGGAAATGTATGTGAAGTTCAAGTTGCGGCCTTATGACAAGAGTATTAGTGAAGATTCAGGCAAGGTAAAGCCAAAAGATATACTTCCACCGGAGACAGGTGCTATTCCGAGGGATGAAAATGATACACGCCCTTTACTTTTTCTTGCTGACGAATTTCAGAAACGCGTGAATTCTCCAAGTGGGGTTCAATACATTCTTCAAGTACAACTCCAACCAATTCCAGATAATGAAGCCTCTCGTGAAGTTGTGCTAGACTGCACTAAACCATGGGATGAGGATAAGTTCCCATACATTGATGTTGGAGAGATAAATATTAATCAAATACTTCCTGCTGAAGAATCAGAGAGACTAGATTTTAATCCCTATCTTCGAAGCCATGAACTCGACGTCATCCGTGCTACTTCAAGCTCCCAAAGTGCTTCTATTGATCATGGTCGTTCCTTGGTCTATGAGATTAGTCAGAAGCTAAGAAATAAAGAGCCGCTCCCAGAGGCCTTAAGGAGCTTTATTGAGGAATCTGATGTGAAGATAGATCTATCAAATTGTCCCACGGCAACACCGACGGCACAAAAAAACATGTTGCAAGAAGTGAGCTTGACCAGAACATGGTATCAAACCTTGTCAGCAATTTTCATTCAACCATTGCTACAAACCGGTTTACCTTATTTAGTGGTGGGCTTAGCAATTTTTGGTCCTCTGAATTGGGTTGTTCAACAAAAAAACGCCAAAAAACTGCCAGTCCATTGGTTGCTTCCTTTGTGTTGGCTTCTCTCAGGTATTGTGGCAGCATTGGCATGTGTTGTTGCCAAATACGTGCTTGTGGGAAGGAAGAAAGCAGGTGAAACGGTGGCCATATGGAGTCAAAGGGTAACAATGGATAGCACATGGCAGGCCATTAGAACTATGGTTGGAGATTATTTTATGGACATGACTAGTGGTTCATATTGGTTTGTGGTGTGGATGAAGTTGATGGGCGCAGAGGTCGAAACAGATCGTGAGGCCTACGTGGACAGCACAGGAGTATTGATGAACCCTGAAATGGTGAAGATTGGGAATGGAGCATGTGTGGGAAGAGAAGCTCTGCTCTTTGGGCACATATATGAAGGAGAAGGCGGGATGGTGAAGTTCGGGGAGATCAACATCGGAGAAGACGCATTTGTAGGAAGTAGAGCTGTCGTGATGCCCGGCGTGCAAGTGGAGAATGAGGGTAGCCTCAGCACACTCTCTCTTGCCATGAAAGGAGAAATCATCAGGTCTAAATAATAACAACAATAACAACAATAACAATAGGATGTTGTCTATCAAAATAACTATAATAATAATAATAATAATAATAATAGGAAGTCTTTTGCTCATTTGATTGACAAAAGTCCTCCCTTGTTTCTTTGTTTGGTAGCAATAAAATAACCCGATCATATCGATCAAGTTGAGAGCTTGCATCCAAATTCAATAATAAACAAAAAGATCACAATTGTTATTTGAATGAGACCCACATTAGTTTTGTTTAGATTATACAGTATTATCTATTTCCATTTTAATAAAATAAGCAGCAAAAATTAATTCTATATACATCAAAGATATATAATGTGAAAATCGGTATAAAATCAATCGCATAATTATGATTATCCCACGTACAGTATAGTTAAGGTATCACATTTGTAGACAATAAAAAGTGCAAAGTGTCCTATAAAATAAAAATTTAAAGGATGAAAAATCTCAATTAATTCCATATGAAATATCACTATTTGAATTTAGACTTACATTTTTAACATATTTTTAATTAGGCTAAAAATGAATATCCCTTAAATTTCTGATGTGCGGTGAGAACGTAAATGTACATGCAAAATATTGAAAATGTAACCAGTCATGTTCAATATCATACTACCTTTTTAGGAAAACTTAAATTAAATTTCTGATAAAAGCTGTCGGCCATAAAGAAATTGCTGATAAAATCATAAAACTCACTTGGGGGTGTTGTTACCAGAGATTGATTTACATAGATAATAATGATATGCAGAAGCAGCCTTGTTATAATTGTAGCGGTGTGCAAACATTATTGGCACAAAGCAACGATTTCATGAGTTTGAACTTATGGGGCCACGATAGCTCACTCAACAAAATAATAAAGCCTCTATCGCAAACAAAATTAGAATATTGTAAAATGAAGCTGGTCAAAAAAATATTGTAAAATGAAAATATCGTAATGTAAAATGAACCATATACTTCCTCCAGTTTTTAATGTATAAGCTAATGGACTAATTTGAGTAGATCAAGAAAATTAGTTGATTTAGTTATTTATAATAAATAGGTGTTATTTTTTTGTAAAATATCATTACTAATCAAGTATATTAGTTATAACTATCATTATTATAAGAAAAATCTTAAGAAAAAAATAGATAAATATGAAAGACAAAATGAATTGAAATCTTATATTTAAAATTATAATAAAAATTAAATAAATTCTTATATTAAACACTGAAGCATAGTATATGACAAATAATGATAGAGTAACAATGACTGGTTAGTCAGGTCAAACAGAAAAAGTGACAAACAATCTCCTCAAACTTGATTTTAAATAAATAAATAAATAAATAAACGTACAGTGATGACGGTGCCAAGCACCGAAGGAGCGCATACGTTTCTCCGCAAAGGTCCACTCTGAGTCTGTGCATGCCTCTCTCCTTACCTCCCAACACCAATTCTAATGCTATTCCGTAAAAGCTCTCTTCTTTATCATTCTCTCTCTAGTCTCCAGAATTTGGCGGTTGTTATTCTGTCCCTTTGTGGCTCCATGAATATAGCCCTCCCCACCAAAGCCTTCGCTTGGACGTTGATCATGAGCATTCTGATCCTAACTCTGGTGATTTCACTGTCGTTTGCTGAATCCTCTAGTTCTTGTGAGTTCGTCTGTTCATGGATATCCTCTCCTTTTCGTCTCTCAATACTAAATCTTTGTTTTCCTGGAGGTCTGTTTATAGGTGCTAGCTCCACTTGCGCAGTTCTGCATTTCGCGACAACCATGGTAGGGAACAGAGCCCCTTCGATGGCTTCAAGCACAAAGGTATGCAACCATACGTTGTAGGTTTTTTGTTTTTCAATTCACTTGTTAAAACTTTAAACAAGAAAAGGAAACCACTTTCTGCTTCTTCAGTCTCCCAGTCGTTTTATTTTACCAATGATTTTCAACATTTTATAGGTTCGAAAATTTGGGGAAGCTTCCGTTGGCACAGTGGTAGAGTCGGCGAGGAAAGTCCCAACCGGACCCGACCCTCTTCATCACAACAAGAATCCCACTGGCCCTTGTGCTGATATCTCCTCTGTTAGAGGATAGGATTTTAACTTGGATGCTTTCTAACCCGTGTTGCAATCCCCTGCTTCTGTATGATCGATGCTTAGATCCCTTTCAACAATCTATATACTTTGCATTCACCGTATTATTAGTGACTCCAAAATCCCGAGAGCCAGCTATATGTTTCCAATATAATATGCTTGGCTAGTTCGGTTTGTTCGTGATTTGAAATTTTGCATTGGGTTTTGTCTTCTTCTGTGTCATTCAGGGACAAGAAAACAGTAATCACTCTGCCCTTTGTTTTCTTTTTCTTTCTGGATTTGGGACTGCAATGTCATTGTGGTGGTCTGGAGGGGATGTTGAGAGGCGAGGTGACGAGGACCTTATTGATCTCTGCTAGCTGCTGTTTAGTGGAAGGAACGGACGCATTTTCGCACGATCTCAGAGTCGCAGTGTGTCCGGGGGAGGGAGAGAGCCAGAGATTTTCAATTTTTGCCCAGAGGCAGCCTCGTATCCTCGGAAACAGCACACGTCTTGCTACGTGGGATTCATATTTTTGATATTGTTGATGAAGGTTTAGCTCAACCATGGACGGGTGTGAACTAGCCCGCCAAGTAATTTGCGATCAATTTTAGGCATCTTATTTATTTTTTTATTAAGAAAATCATTTCGCGCGCGCACTAAGAAGTAGCTGATAAATATCCATAACCAGGATTTAAGTTTCAAAAATCTCATTTTCACAGCGGAAAAAATATCTTAGTTCTACAGTATTTGCTACTCCATTGAAGATCTCAACACTTGGATAGTTGGGTCTTCAAAACAAATTCTCCCTGGCCTGTTTTTATCACAAGAGATGGAAACAAACGAGTTACCAAAATATTTTCCCTTTCGCGATTACCGAGGGAGCTCCTTTGCGCCACTTACATCAAATGCACCAAGAAAAGCAAAGCCCAAAACACGTATAACATAATCATCACTTAGTAGATGCTGATCATTCCAAGCTCCAATAAGTGGGGAAGGGAAAGATGGAAAAGATCATTAGAAAAACAAAAGAGTGTTTGGGTGATTACCCAAACCATGGTTTGGAAACAAAAATTACCCAAACACACATCTAAAATCAGTAACTATAGTCTTGGCTTAAAAGCTATGGTTTTGTTAGAAGCGTTTTTTGAACCTGCTTATGAGAAAAGAATGGGAGAGTGTCAAATGGTTTGTCAATGAATATGAGATTTGTCTTTTTGACCAGACATATACCCCTCAATCATTCATTTCTCTTCCGCCTTCGCTCCACTTAGAATCCATTCCTATATTTATATTACTATCTTTACTCTTATATTTTATAAATATATATCCAAAAAAAATTAATTACTATTTCTACTCTTATATTTTATAAATACATATATATACACATAGTAACAATTAATTATATTATATTAAAGATCGAAGATAGTATGTTGTTACAAAAACTAATTGTGAAAAAATGTTATGGGATAAATTAATATTTTTCTGTTAGCGGAAAAAAATTTATTTTTCTATAAACATATTTAATTTTATATTTTATAAATATATATATACACATTAATTGTTTATTAATTACATTTTCTTATATATTATTAATTATGTTGGTAAAAAATATATTATTACCAATTTTATTCCTTCAAATTAAAATATACTATAAAATTCATCTTTTATGTAATTATCATATTAATTTATGCCTTTTTGAGTAACTTGCATATATAAAAGTACTTTTGATAACAACTATCCAGACACTCTCACTTTGTCAGAATCATTTTTTTACAAAATCTATTATTCTCAAAATCTATTTTTCAAATCATGATTGGTTTCATCCAAACACCCCTAAGCAGTATATGTATACGTGGGAAGAGACGTATCCCAAGGGTCATCCTGTGTTCTATTCTAATCCCAACTTCTGTTCTGTATGTATTTTGTCCCTCAGTTTTTCCCGTATAGGTTCATTTCATCCTGACATAACCTGAACAGAAACGAAACAATTAGGATGAGTTCTTATGCATAGCTTTAGAAGGGTTATGGTTTTTTTCTGCGTCCTTTTCATTCCACGTACGGTCTATATGAAATGGACTACGCATTTGACAAAAAATTATATGTTTTTGAAAAAAACGATATTCGAATTAAAATACAGGATGTAATCAATTGTACGTCTCTATTCCGAAAATAAAAATATTAAATATATTTCTTCTTTTTCCAAGAGATTTTGAAAAATGCATATCATAAATTACATATGTAGAGAAATGTTGGATAATTAACATGAGTCTCACATGCTACGAAGAGTCAAAATTAAAATTTAAAGCACTTGCAAATTATACACTGTAGTAGTATAAATATATTAAGGACCTCTGGGGTTGCATGGGCAAAATGATCACAGATGCCATACCCAAACGCGATTCTAAAACCCAACACCCTCCAAAAGCACGTATAAATAAGTTACTCCACAAATTGAGATAAACTATTCTGTATATTTATTTATTTATTTAGTATATTATAAAAATATTTTTAAAATTATAGTGTTGTTTCTGTCTAAATACCTAGAAGCACATAAATAAATTACTCCAATAATGAAACAGGACGTTTTGATTTTTATGATTTGTTCATCATGTGATGCTTTAGTTGGATACGTGGCCTTCTCACTTTCGCGAGCGGTCAGTGGAGTGAGTGTGAAAACAATAAACATCCAGTGATAGTGAGAGAGAGGAATATCTGTCCACCCGCAAACAGCCGAACTAAAAATATCTCTGGAATCTTCTCGGCTTTTTCCCGCCGGGTCTAACCAAAATATCTCAATCCCTTCCCTCCTATAAATATCAAACCACTTTTCCGCTTCCACGCGCCCAACTCTTGCTCCTGATTGCGAGCTCGCTGCGTGATCGCTCCCATGTCTTCTTCAACCGCCCCCGCCACCACTAGCGACTCCTCTGACCACCTTCACACGCCTACATTAGACCGCGAGTCTTCCGCTCTCCTCCACTCCATTTCCGAGCATGGAGGCTATGCTTACGTCAGCATGGCCTCCCTCGCCATCCTCGGCGACTTCCGGGCCGCCGAAGCTGCCCGTGAAATGGCCTGGGAGCAGCTGCATTCGGGGCCTCGCCACTCGGTCCTCCCAGTTTGGCGCGACGCCTACTCTATGGCGTGCCTTCACGTTGCGAAGCACCATTACATCAACGGCCAATTCAAGGAGGCTCTTAGGGCTTTGGACATGGGACTGATCATGGGGGGATCGCTTCTAAAGAAAGACTTGAGCTCTGTTGTTGACAAAGTATCGGAGAGGTTCAAGAACATTCGTGCTTCCAAAGAAACCCGCGAAGGCTTTAGGATGTCGGAACATCGACTTGTCAGTAATGAACTTAACCAGGTCGAGGTGAGGCCACACCATCCTTGTCTCCGACGGATGTGTTTCGTACACTGTTCAGCTAAAAATAGAAATGGCCATTTTTACTCGCTGCATGAATCATTTGAAGTCTTTGATACTGAAGTTCGGCGAGGAAATGAGCCAAGGAGCACAAGTAGAAGTGTTTACGGGGCTCACTTCCTCTTTCTTCTCCCATTCAAACTATTATTACTTATCTCTTCGATCTCTATAAGAATTTTACCATCAAGAACTCTAGAAAATCCTTACTCGGCAGTCAGTGCTGTAGGAGCCAATGATTTGGGTAGTTTTGCAGAGCAAATCTGGTTCTGTCACCGTACATAAGAAAATGAAAGCGTGCTATTTGCAACCGTCGAATTCCATGCTGTTCTATTGATATTGAAATTGCAAGTTCTTCTGTTTGCTTTACTGTGCTTATGAAGCTAGATCTGATTGATGTATTTATTTCCAAATGTTTGTCACCCTTCTGATGTTTATATTATAGCTTCCATGCTTGTAGGTGCACAAACTTCTACCCTCCAACTCTCTTTCTTACAAAATCGTGGAGAAGAGGTCTGCTCTGTCATTGGAAAGTTTCCTAGAAGATTATTACCGGTCTGGCTATCCGATTATCATCAGTGATTGTATGGCTCACTGGCCCGCCAAGACAAAATGGAATGACATAGATTATTTGAAAAAAGTTGCTGGTGATCGCACAATTCCAGTTGAGGTAATTTCTCTAATTATATGATCGAGTAAGCTGTTTGAGGGAAAATCTTGTTTGAAACATTTTCTTTGCAGCGAATTGGTCCTCCAAGAGATTTTTATATTAACTGATTACAGCAATCTGGAAATTCGACTCATCTTAGAGGGAGATTTCGTTGTCCATTTATTTGGTTTACACTTGATTAGAATTTAATAGACTTGGATTTCAAGATTGCTTTCTGGATATTCGGCTTGCTCGTTAAATCTGCACCGACGAAATGTGATGCATGTTAAGATTATATTGGCAACTTAATATAACCATAATAGGAATGAATATAACGTAAATCGACTCGCACACAGAGGAAGGGGGAGAGAACCTCATTTATTTATATTATATCTGTTGCCATTGATTGTAGTGATAAAATTTAGCATGCTTTGCAGGTGGGAAAGAGCTATTTACGTGCGGAGGGGAAGCATGAGTTGGTTACATTTTCTGAGTTTCTTCAGCGTATGGAGTCCCATGGCTGCTCTTCTGCCGGGCCTACATATCTTGCTCAGTATCCGCTATTTGATCAGTGTGTCTACTATCTATAATTTTGAAGTTTGATACATAAGATAGAAGTCAAACTGCTTATTTTATTCGCCAATGTTAATTGCATTGAAGATAATGAGCTTCGGAAAGATATTTGTATTCCTGACTACTGTCTTGCTGGTGGCGGGGGGAGCTAAGATCTCTCAATGCATGGTTTGGTCCTGCTGGGATGGTAACACCGTTACACCATGATCCACACCATAATATTCTGGCTCAGGTGAGTCCATTGTAGTACTCTGGAGTCTGGATTGAACAATTACAGCAAAAAGCTGTATTGGTATTCTTTCACCTTCATTTTAAAACATACTGGTTTTTATGGTCTTATTTCTCCTTTTTTTAATAGCATATATGCTCAGCTTATAAAAATGAGAACGACTTCTCCAACATTAGGAATACTATGTAGCATTAATGTGCTTCTTTTTAATTCTCTTCGCTTGATTACCTCTAGATTATAATCCTAATTATAGGCTCCTAAAAATTATGCGCAACATGGATAGCACACTTCAAGTTTGGCAAAGTATTTAAGTTTTGATCTGGTGTGGTGTGATCTTGAATGAGTCAGTTCAAT